CCCCAAAACCCCAAAACCCCAAAACCCCAATACATAAATTTATAACTGATTCATTACTAGATAATTAAATATGAAACTCCAATTACTCATAATTATGTTAACCTTTCTCATGAGATTAACATTGGCTAATGTATGCAGTAATCCTGATGACATGCTTGGATCTGTCACAAGAGGAACTTTTAGCCTACCTTCAGCGACTAATCAGTATTTTTCTAAGATGTTCCCGGAGCCTGATTACTCCTTTTTATACTTCTTTGGATATGCTACTGTTGCTTCTGTTTCGACAGCATTCCTGTATAAGGCGAATCCTGACTTGAGTATGGTAGAGACATATTCTTTAGGCATTAATGTCTACGCTAGCACTGCTGCAGCTGATGCCAACGCAGATTTCGCGTATGTTCAGAAAGATACTTCTAACAGTATCTACGAAATCGATATTAAGAATTATGATGTTACAAGGGAAATCACAATCCCTTCTTCAGCCATGAGTGCTTTGGAAACAATGGAAGTCAATGATTATCTTTATTTTACAGCAAAGTTCAGCAGCGTTGCAAACATTTGCAGGCTCAACCTGACTGATGGAGATTACCAGTGCTTAAACTATGGGCATACAAGTATTAGTACGTACTCAGTTATTGGAGATGAGTCTGTATTTTTGGGTCTGATGAGGCCCTCCTCTAATGACTTCTTTCTTTTGAATGCAAACTTCTCAGATCCAACCCAGATGAATTGGTTCAAAGCAGTTCAGTGTCCAACTGGAGCATGTTCAAGCGGAGTATCTCGGTCAATTGTGAGCAGGTAAGAATGTGCTGAATCAATACTTAAAATGCTATCTTAGATTTTCTTATTCTTCTGATAAAACACCAGTTTGTCTTAAATTTATGATACTTAATTAACATAGAGATGGACACTACATTTACACAATGATACTTTACAGAGGAAGACATATCTTTCAGGCTCTTTCTGTCGCTGATGGGGAACCCCTAAATCTTGGCTTGATGGATACGAGATCAACTCTGTCTGTCATATCAATTGAAGAATTTTCTGAATATGTTATTGCCCTTGTTGATATTTCTTCAGCAAATCTTATAAGTATCTATCTAATCGATCCTGCAACCAGAAAAGTAGCTCAGCATAGGAATTTAAATATAGAATTTTACCAAATATCAAGAGTTGTATCTAATGGATACGAATACCCTCTTATTTTGGGTGGAGATACTAATGTCTTTATGGCTAAATCCGTCATATCAGAAATGCTTTCCATAAATGGAGTAAATCTCTATGTTGTGACTATCTCAAATATTACATCCACAGCATACTCAGTTGAAAATATCTCTTCTGTGCCAAGTCTAGTGTCAAGCACTGGAACAGCATCATTTGCTTTGAATCCTTCTGCAGTGGTATCTAACATTACTACCTCTTTAACCCCAAGCTTGAGTTATTCAATAGCGTTGTGGAAGCAGACACATGTTCAGTCAGTAATTGGAGGAGAACTTATCAGCCTAAACTTTACTTGGGCTTGAGCTCATTCTTCTAATGTTACTGCAATTGCCTTTGCTTTAAATGCTACCGGAACTACCCCTGTGCCTTCTTGGGTTGAATTGGACTCGGCCAATCAAAAAATGTATTTAAACAAAACTCCTGTAGAGACCACCCCTACAATACATAAGTTCTCGCTGAAGATACAATATAGCGGAGGTACTTCTTATAAAAAATTTGAAATCACAGTTCAAGAATGAGGCTTAACGGACTGCTTAGAGTGCGACCCATCTGATTCTGAGATATGAATCAAATGAATTTCCGGATTTTCACCTTCTACAGATGGGAAGGTATGAGTGGAAGATCCTCCTCCTGCTTCTCCAGCTTCTCCAGTCCCTTCTCCTTCCCAAACATCTGAAAAGGAAGAGGAGTCTCCTGATACCACAACAGAGCAGAGGATGGCTCAAAGTTTGATAGCAGCAAGCATGATAATTTCTGTAGCTTCCTCCATTTTGTCTTTATCATCACTGAGTGGGATTTTCAGTATGATAAATAGTCTCCAACTTTTGATTTTACTTCCCTTGGTTCCTGAATTTTTCTCCAAGAAGGTCATGAGTATACTCACAGGAGTAAGTTTCACAATGCTGTCTTTCGACTTCATCAAAGTCAAAGACATCCCCTTAATTGTAGAACTGACAGAGTGGGTGTCTTACCCTCAATCTGATGAATACCTCAACGAAATAGGCTTGAACTCAGGCTCTTCAGTGATAAACTATCTTTCTATTATGGCTATTGCTATTTTAATTGGATTTATACACCTATGTATAGCAATTGGATACAACAAAGTGAAAGAAAAACCTCCTCAGAGTAAGATCAGGAAAGTGATGAAAAGAATATTTATTTATTTCACCTTTAATGCTTACATCAGAATTTTCATCGAAGGCTTTTTATTTGTTCTGATTTCAATTTTTTCAGAATTCTATTCCCTCAATGTGTCTACTGTTATAACTCAGGTGTCACTAGGATTCTGTGTGATGTTCACATTATGCTCTTCTGTGTTATTTATTTTATCCTTTTACCTTTATAAGCTGTCATTTCCAAAGATTAATTACCAAGAACACTGGAGCTGAACAGAGTATTTTGAAGGAATCAAAGATTTCAGATTTGCAAAGTTGTTCACTATTCTGTATCTATCTCTACGTTTGTTTCTAGTGGCAATCCTTATTAATGGTCGAGGGTTACAACCCATTTGGAGGTCAGTCAGTTTTGTAACTCTTAATGTACTGTTTGCACTATATTTATGAATTGTAAGACCATTCGAACAAACTAAGGATAGCATCATTGAAGGTTTGAATCAAGTGCTTCTCTGAGTCCTTTCTGTGCCTCTTTTGTGGATAGAAACTAGGTCAGACTGGAGCTCATCTTATGAGGAATTCTACATAAAAATTGTGTTATTGATTCCGGCCATTGGATCTTTAATTGGCTTTGTATTTCTGATAAAAATAGTAATTTCGAAATTTGTCAGAAGAAAGAAAACAAGGAAGCATAAATTGCCTGAAACCCTCTCAGTCCATCCTAAGAGCCAGATTAATTACAAAATAGGTATACTATCTCTAACATAATGTAGAAGAACAGAAAGAGCCTGGACCTCCAGTTTCTACATCCAATTTTAAGCTGAACAATTTCTAGGCTATCATTAAAATCCAAAATCACTAAGTTATAAAAACTCCCTAAATTCCTAAAAATTCGTCGAAATTATAATTTCTGTTCAATAAACCAATCGACGAACGGGGTTTTGGGGTTTTGGGGTTTTGGGGTTTTGGGG